AAGGAAAAAAAGGGTTAATTTCCCAAATTAATGAACAATTAACTATGACTATTTAGAATAACAGTTTGATTGCATGAATTTCCATTGCTCAGAATAAGTTCTCTGCATAATCCACTAGAACGGATGCTTAAAGGCAAGTTGATCCGTTAACCATTGCAGATTCCTTTTAATTATGGCATGTTTGCTGAAATGCTTTTCATTGAATCCACATAAGAAATGAAAATCTTATTTATTCTACGATCCAACTTATACATCTAATCCATCCAATACTGTCACAATGATATATCCTTACAAACCCACAACATAATAAAATCAAAAGCAACTCAACAGTATCCTTACAAGAACCACATATATCAAACACACGACAGGTACATATACATAAAAACATTTACAGCATTGTACATTTCCTATGTAATCCAACAGGACTTCAATTTATGATTTGCAGAGATTTTCAACACCAAAAGAATAAAGAAATGCCAACTTCTGGAAAACGAACTCATTCTCTGATCAACAGTTCATAGACATTAATATTATTTTCGTCGTTTAGGTGTTTCAACATTTCAAAACTTTTACGACTCTGACTTCCCAGAAAATCAATTCGCTTGAATTCAATATACCCAAGCTCTGCAGTCTCTATGCTGGAGTAAGCCAACCGAAGCCTGTCAGCCTGTCCTGAATCTGTGTGGATAGCTACTTCTATTTCATCAGCCGACATATTCTCCTATGAGATTGAATCATAAAACCAATAAGAACAATGCATCTTAATTTCTCCTATGTGTTTCCTTGCAGAAACACAGATGTAAATTACCCAATCAAACATATCCAAATATTCCAACTCAACTTCTCAAATTGAATATTTGCACTCAATAAATTTTAAGAACGGGTTTATGGCCATATTTGGCTACTATCGTTAAAGTATATACTTATGGTACCATCACAGCTCACTCCCTAGTGATGCATACATCAAAGCCACCTGGAAAGATGTTAGCAGTTGTGAAATCATTAAAACAATATTTGTCATTGAGTTATTTGGTACACTATATCCTCCCAGCCACAGCAATAAGTCAAATACCTGGTAAAATACATGGATATGATCCAACACTTGCAAACACGTGAAGCCTTTGTCACTGAAAAATGTCCTTGAACGAGGGCCCGGCTCCAAAAATCGATCAACTGGAAACAGTATAGTTAGGAAGTGGCTATTGAATATTAACTCTGACTTGTTGAGGTATAAGAACCTTTTTACCTGCATATAGCAATTCCAGCGCTTTTTGACACCATCTTTAGCAAGGTTTGCAATCTTTTGCCTATCTACATGGCTTATATTAGTAATAGAACGAGGTACAGTGCCAGGATCAGTATTACCATTGACTACCTAATCCATAAGGATCATTCAACAGATAAAACACAAAGATCTGAATACCAATCTGCCATTTTGTGGCCAGCTTGTCCGATATATAACCTCCAAAATAACCAATTAAGTGCAAGAACTAACTCTTAATTAGTAATCCGATCTATCCCAATCAAACACAAATAAACTGCACAGTGAAACTAGTTTTCAGATTAAGCCCTTGTTTGGTCACCATTATTTCCAAAATACATTTATCTCTCTCTTATTTTTAATCATACATTCTTCAAAAAAATAATATTACATGCAAACTCAAAACTTTTCCTTATTTTTTAATCATACATTCTCCAACAAAATACTATTCCAAAATGCGTTTTGAGGAAAAAATGGGGCTCAAACATGCTCTAAAAGAATGATTTTTATAGTTCTTCTAAAACTAATTCCTTATGCCCTCTAACTAGAATGGACATTTCAACAGCTTTAACCGTGATGCAAACCGAATTAATATCATGAATTGAGTTGGCTCCAGATACAACATATTGTAGCTGGAAATAAGAGCAGTCCTTGGTGTAGGCTAACTGAGAAACATCTCAAGTGTTACAATCACTCAAAGAAATGTACATGTAAGAAAAAGGAGAATCTTCACCGACTTCCACCAGTCTATGTTTCATGCATTTCAAATATCCATGGCTTGTAAATGCGAATAAAATTTTGTGTCTGTAAAACTCAAAACTTAAGTTGCGGGCTTATCAAGTGTTACAAAGACCTGTTAAGAAATAAAGAGAACAAGAAAGAAAAAGAATTAGTGTTGAAAAACCTGTGTACCTCCTTAAAGATGCCATTTTCGCTAGTGTCTAGCAAAGCTCCAGTTTACCTAGCCAAATCTGCAGATAAACGTACGAGCCTTTGCACACGAATTTCATTTGCAGACTTCAGAACCCATGCTGGCTAAGGCAAGCAAAATATTGGTTTATAGATGACCAAAATATGTACCAGAACAATATATCAGATATTTGAGCAGGTGAACAAAGAATAAAATCATAGGGAGGGAAATATCGTAGTTTGACCTAAATAATACTTAGAGGGGGGTGAATAGGTGTTTATGCAGAATTTTCACTAATTAATTAATAAATGCAACAAGTCACAATTATTAATTAGTCCAGTTTATTTCACATGCTCTACTATCCTATGTTGAACTGTCGAAAATAAGTAAATTGAAAAAAATAAGTAACACAATTAATTGATAACGGAGAAAATCCCTTACGGGATTAAAAATTTAGAGCCCAAGCCAATACAAATTCACTATAAACGAAAATTCAACTTACTATCTGCCACACACAACTAACACAAGTTTTTCTAACCTCCTAACTACAATTTTCCAAAGCCGTCCAGGAATGTGTGCTCTTGCTCTAACTCCCAGCTCCAAGCCCTCCTGTGTTGCGTGCTCTTACACCAATTCCCGGCTCTTGATTTTGTCTATCTCCTGTGTATTCCTAGGAACTCCCGATTCTCCAATGATCGGAACTCCAATCTCCTTCCCTCATTTTCAAATCTCAACAAATGCTTTGGAAGAACAAGTTTTGGTGTTTGATGGTAGTGGATTTTATGTTTTTGTGGGAGTGCACCAACAGGATGTGGGATTGAATGAATATATCAAAGTGTACAAGGTTTTCTCCAAATTCAACCATCTAGAAAACGCTAAAAACGATGCACTGGTATTTATATGGGATGTTTTGGGTAGTGTAGGCCGGGTCAAAATCTCGAAAATCAAAAAATAGGGTTTTTCAAGTAGCAATGTCGCTCGATCGAAAAGCAAGTGAAGTAGTGGCGCAAAGCTAGCGAGGGACTCTCTGTTTTTAACACTCGAGAGATCACTTGGCGAGCAGCTAGTGAAACTTCAACGACACTTCTTGCCCTACTTCACAACTCAAACCCTAACATACTTTAACAAAATTGCAACTTAGTCTCCAACTTTTACTCACGTACAAATTGACGCCAAACTCTTGAACAATTATAAATTGACCATTTTGATCATAGAATAGCTAACACAAAATCTAATAGGGAGAGTAGTGTAGATTAAAGGGACAATGTCATCATAAATGTTACAAAAAAAGAGAATTGACAATATGAAAAATAAGAACAAGAACATAAGATTTATAAGGAAACCCAAAACGGGAAAAAACCACGGGCAGAGGAGGTGAATAATTGACTATATCAAAATATGATTCCAAAATTTGGATTGTTTGATGGTTTTAAGAAATGTAATTACTCCTATATATAATACAAAAGAAAAAAAGGAAACCTAACATCTGGTAGAGTCCTAATATAACAGGTCTAACAAATGATAGTGTTTGAGATACAATAGGAATGTAAAAACAGCCAAACTTGCGATTAGGATTTCAGCTAGATAGTCCCACCGCTAGAGTGGCAGGCTCATGTACAGTGAGCGATCCATCCACCATTCGAGTGCCCATAGTGCAACCAGTGAGCGGTCAACTTGCTGAAAAAGACGCTCAAGTGCCACCTGCGCGATTGGTGAGCAGTATTCACGCAATTTCTTCTCCTTATCCGTGAGTTTTTCTATCTTAGGTTTTCACGTAAATCTTATGTTCTTGTACTTATATTTTTGTATTATCAATTCTCATTTTTTTGTAATAATAAATGAGAAATATGAGATTTTACTCTGTTTTGAACATTACACAATCTCTTAAATCTTCATGAATGGCATTGGAACACTTACTGTATACAAGATTACTTGAGTGCCCAAGTTATTTTCGATTAGACTGTCCTTCGCATTCAATATAATTGGTATCACAGCCAGCATACCAATGATCAGCAGAGACAATGTCAGCTACCTATTAAATAGATACACATGTTTGAGAGAATTCCTCGGGTTAACTTGGACAGTTGACTTCAATTTTTTTTATTCTTATTATTTTAATAACAAAACTTCAGGTTTATGACAATATAGCATGTAAGAATTTCACTTGCAACACATTGAAGAAAGTCAGCTATCAAATAAAATAAGCAATAATTTAATATAGTGAGGCGTTTTGAGAACAATATATAGATATTCTACATCTCATTCAAATAAGCAAGGAAGAAAACTCAAGTGCCTTATGAAAATTTTTTACTCTTCCTTACTACATAGCTCTGCTGTGACATCATTATCAACATAAAATGATTGACCAGAAAAGGGTGAAGCTACAGTTCTTTTGGTCTCTCTTTCTGAAAACTGTAATTTTTGTCCAACCAAGCAAGTCAATTTGTCCAACCATCGAGAGAAGATTTCTCACTGTCAGTATTCTAAGCAAGTCCCTTCAAATCATTGCTTCGGGAACCCGTTTCTCCAATATGATTAAAGTTACTCGTTTAACCTCTCTTAAACAAATTAAAAAAACCCACTCAATTGTTTGAAAGTAGAATGTCCCTATTTTGTTCAATTCAAGCTCAAAATATGCCCAATCAGCTCAATTTCAAGCAAAAACTAATAACATTGTGCAAAAAATGGGCTATACGAGGAGAATATGAGACAAGCTACTGTTACAACCATGCTATGCTGCCAGTAAAAGTTTGACACTTTTCGTAGCACCCTCACAATAGGAGGAGAGGGAAATATTTTTTGGCATTTTTTATTCACATGGGTCCCACACTTCGATTCAAGGATTGTGTCAAACTCTGGCAACTCAACTTAATTCCTATTGTTTAAGCCAAATATGCTCTGACAGATATGATATGACAAGTCATCTTAAATCCATTCACTATATCTTCAAGGATGATAGAATGTGATGTATTGCCCCAAGCTCAATAGCAACCAATAAAGATTAGACCTCTTTTTTGCCTCGAAAGTTGATGTTTGTGTGCATAGCACATGGTCCAAATTCCAAGTTTACCAGCTAACGTTAACAAGAAAGAAAGTTATCTGACACAAAAAATTAAATCAATGCTTTTGAGTCCATGGAGTTAAGTATTGGCAACCAACTCAGTATTAATAGCGTTAATGCGAGATTACATGTCGACAAAAATTAAATAGAAATAATTAAGTCATTTCATTATCACTGTAAGAAATCAACAAGTGAAGGAAATGAACTTATTACCCTTCTTTTGATGCTATACACAAACTAGCCCATTGTAACCAAAAACAGACCATTTCTTTGTCCATGTTTCAAAGCATGCTCAAACTTGTGTCCATGAGAGCTGTACGAACTATTAAGGGTAACAAAAGTATCATGGAGTGGACTACAATTTTGCATCAGCAAGATAACTGCATCTTAATTTATAACCATAAATATTGGAGAAAATTTGAAAACTGGTCCAAGCATCTTAATTGTTTATTTCTGATTTTACATGAAACAATCTGCCTTCATGTACCAAATTAAAATCTGTAATAAACTTGTTATTCACCAAATTATATGATTATAAATGTTTGAAAATTCATCATGTATTTTTAATCATAAACAGGGAATTTCGCACAGCCAAATAAGCATCAAAGTTATAAATATTAAGATGGGGTATTTGAACCACCAAATGGATACACTGAGTATGGAGATGAGGCTATATTGACCTCCCAATTTCTCTTTTGCTTCCTTCACCTATTTCCTTGCTTCTGTATATAACATAAACTTGAATATAAAACAGTAGATGCATTCTATTAATCCAAACAATTCTCGAATAACTGCTCAAAAATTAAAAAACAATATACATGTAATACAAAATTCAAAATAATCGTAATGTCAACTGTAGAGAGTCCAATAACGCAAATGTTAAGGCCAGAAGACGGGCTATTTGATTTAACTATTTTCATATGCTATTCAAGAACTTTGGTGACAGTGGAAACAGGGGACATGGGCTTCAAGGAGAAAGACTGGAGGCTTCCCTTGAACACTTGTTGTTGGTTATCACCTTCGCCCTTCTTCTTCCAATACCAGTATACCACCCATTTTTTCAAACTTACTGCCATTTACAACACTCTCTTAAATGACACATTACAAAATATATGCCTCGTTAAAATCTTGTGTGATAAAACTCTAATGGGACAAAAAAATAAAACAAAGGAAAAAGAGTACAATTATTTTGGAGTATTAAAAATAAATGCTACATCATTAAAATATTGCTAAGAAAATCCAGTGGAATAAAACCTATGCGAAGGAAAAATAGTACAGTTATTCTCACTGACGTTGATCACTGAAAATTTTTAAGTCGACGAATTTCAATTTTATGAACTAATTTCTTGAATATAGATGTTGGTAGAGCTTTTGTGAATAAATCGACTATATTGTCACTTGAGTGAATTTGTTAAATAACAATGTCGCCATTCTTTTGAAACTTGTGTGTATGAAAGAATTTTGGAGATATGTGCTTCGTCATGTCATCTTTGATGAGTTGTGCAATACTAGCTGCATGTTTTCATACAAAATTGTTGGATTATCTTTTATTGAAGTTAACTCCCATGATACTTGGATATGAAAGGTCATATTCCTCAACTATACATATTCTCGGCCTACTTCATGGATTGCAATAATTACACAATGATTTAAGGATGTTGCTGTTAAGGATTGATTCACGAATCTTCATCATATAGATGTTCATCCACGTGTAAACACATCCTGATTGTGATTTAGCTTAATGTGGGTCGAATAGATAACCTACATCTGCATTTTCACTAAAGTAGATCCCGATTTTTGAAAATAAAATAATCTCAAATCAATAGTACCCTTTATATAACGAAAAATATGTTTATCACTATTCCAATGTCTTTGAGTTGGTGTAGAGCTATATCTTTTAAGAAGATTACCGAAAAAGTTATGTCGAGTCAAGTGCAATTTGCAAGATAAGTTAATGTTCCAAATGTACTAAGATATGATACTTCAGGACCAAAAATATTTTCTCCACCTTTAGTGGACAAAATGGATCATTTTTTCACATCAAGTGATTAAACAACCA